ACATTCTTAAATTTAATTTTTCTTAGACATACTATTTATTCTATTTTTATGGAATTCAAATGATTGAACTTTTATTTAAAAATATTTTTTATAATACTATTAGGTGTATGAATTTAAATTTCAGCAAGTTTTATTTTATTAGTTATTTTTTCTCCGATTTTTATACATTTAGATCACAATTTTTCATTATTACAAAATACCTTTGTTTAACTTAAAGAAACAAGTTCCTGTTTTAGAAAGATGTTTTAATTATTTTTATAAACGTGAAGAAAGAGGGTCTGCAACTTTTCAAAATTGTTTTAAAACTTTTAATCTTAATTTTCTTGTCGTGGTGCCTTCCGTAACGTGTACATTATATACTAAACGGTTCTAACAACATTCTGTATTCGACGACCAACGCTAATACTACAGACCCGTTAACAAATGATTGAGTTGAAAACGAGTTATTATGTATTTGCTGTAAATCTCGTTATATCACCGTACGCACCGGAATTCTATAAATTATATTTCACACGCCATAACATATAATATTTATGTATTACATACGATTCGGGCAGATTCACGTTTTATCTCTGTTGATCTCTACAACGCACTCGCTGCAGTGGGAATAATATGGTGTCGGGTATGTTATACAGCTATTATGAAATTCATTGGCGAAAACCAGGAAGGAAGTAAATGTATTTTATATTATATTCTGTTAAGTTCAATAAACGCGCAATTACATTTCGTGAAATTCGCCTACTAATAAAAGGCATACCAATTGTAAGATACTTTGGCCCCGTTCGCTCAAGTCCCTGACGACCTGTTGCACCAGCCTGACTCCAGAGTATAAAATTATTGCAAAACTCTGAAAGAATTTACATTTTTAAAAATTGCCGGATATCTGGTTAAAAAAAAAATGATATTATAATTTACCGGCAACTTAATTGTCTAGTTCTTCTCTACTAGATGATCAAAACCATCTGACAGTTTAGTAAAGCGTTTAACATATTAGCATAGTTAATAAAAATTTGAATTTTCCTTTCGATAATAATTCTATTTGGGACTTTACTTCTCATAGGCTTCGGCCAGAGTGGGGCCAAATTTAGATTTCCTAAAGGTTGAAATCCCACAACAAAATAGTTTAAAATGTGATTTTTAGGTAAAAAAAAAAAAGTTTTAGATTTTTGTTATTTAAAAATCCTGAATTTGCCTAACTCTAGTTTCACCTCGTCTCGGTGGAAGACCTTGGAACATACCAATTGATGACCTGGCTTAAGCCGGCCTCGGCCTAAGCGACACTGGTATGCTAGGTAGATTCCTCTTTCAGGACATCTTAGTGGACTGAAGTAGATGCAGAAAGCATTAGGGGAACTACTTGTAATTCAAAGGTGAGCACTATGATAACGAAAACAGTTGCACAGCGACAAAGTAAAAGTTTTATCAGATGTCACAAATTCGTTAAGAACATTGTTCTGGTCGAAACGCAACTGAAATGACATTTTTTTCGGTATGTCTCGATCGAGGAATAAGATGGTAACGGGCAGCCGTTCAAGTAGCCGGATTGGGTAGGAGAATGGTTCACGACCTCGCAGATGTTCCGTTTCTCTTTTGATGGAAATCGCTTTTCGACCGTATGCTTACCACGCAGCGCACCGGACTGAAGCAAAAATTGCCATAAATTTACCACACCAACTGAGTTATGTACATGCATAATATATATATATATATTATTACAACAGGTTGTCTACTCTATAACACGGCCATAAAAGTACTGCAAACGACATTGCCGCCCGTTCAGACTTTTCTCGCTGGCAAATGTCGTGCCTTCGACGCGCGGGTCTTGTCCTGCAGAATTTCGCCAATTGTATTAATTCATGCTACCGTGTAACCCGACAGTATGACCTCAGATGCGGTATGTTTACACCGCGCGTTATCATTAATTTATAATAATAATATGTCCTACATAGTAATGCAGTTTTTTCTCTTCTTCAAACGACGTTACGTGACCACTTGACAGCGCAGCGGGTAGGTATAGGCACACGGACCAAATCCAACGCAAACGGAGTAAAATCGTTGCGTTTACGCTTTTCGATTCCACGTTTAACTGATGATGTGCGTTCCTCAATTATTCCTACACCAATGTCCTGTACCATATTGATTGATATGCACAAGAAAGAACTCGAGTTCCATGCACAATCGCACTCGGTAAATGTCACTTTGGAATAGAATCTTTTCACTAATCAAGCGCTTCCGACGCTCACAACAGGTGCGGTATTTTTTCATAAACCTTTGGTTCGCGGCTACAATTAATTATTATTCTTAGTACTCGATAATAATAACAATAATGAGATAATTACGCTGGAAAACTTAAGCTAATACTTGACTATTATCGTGCACCTAGTTTTAATATGGAGACTTCGCATACAAATAAAATGCACTTTTGCTATGCGATTATATTCGGTTTTAATTCGTTATAGTAATTATGTATTAATCTATTACTAATATGTTATTTTTATGTAATTCGGAACGACTTTTCTTGTTCTAGGAATCCCGTACTCTTGGTGCCATTCAAATTAGAAAACTATTAACTTGTTTTGTTGCGTTTAAAATCAATCGGTTAATTACCCGGAAACCGTAATATAGTTGGTGTACATTAAAATCTTGCGGTTCCCCTATCCGTGTTGTTGTTCTAACGGTATCGGATCTTTTGAGTAGTATTATTTTTATTTTGTTTTACCAATAACACTGGCCGGCCGTCACAAAAAAAACCGGTCTCCATATAAATTGTACAAACGTCACTCTAATGACTGATATCATATACGTGAAGTAACTCGGTGCTGACCAAGCGCCTCTTTTTGTCTGTAAACAAATTGTAAAAGTATGTGGGGCGAGGGTTGAGCCTTGGAGCGAGTCAACTTAAAATTCAATTTTTTTTTTCTTTTCATTTCGGTGTACCTACAAACGCTGTTACATTGAAATCGTAACAAATCGTTTCAAATGACAGGAACGGTCGTCATTCGGAAATGTCTATTGAGATGAAGTCAATAAGCCGTAACAAAGGATACGCCCGCCAATGTATAGTTTCACAGTGATTCTCCTTAAAACTCGGTAGAAAACTCACTTGCCCAGATCCGTAGTAATTCAAATAATTTTTTTAAAAATGCATCGGTGACAGAAAGTATAATATAGTATTAAATGACTGACACTCAATGTGATGGTCTCAATAACGACTTAACATCAACGTTTTCACGGTCATACAAATTGATAGCGTGGTGGCGATTGGTGATGATTTAATTTATTGCGGTATGCCGTATGTGTGTCAATAGACGTTTAGTGTATTGAGTACAAAATAAGTTTGCACGAAAGTGAAAGTCCAGAAATCATCTAGTAAATTCCCAAATGCTCTGTGATCGTTCGATAAGTGTAGTAGAACTATTATTGAATTAAAACAATTGGTGGTGACCTATAGGGTAGGAACCTTGCATTGGAACCGTCAACTGATTTTTAAATAATACTTATTATTAGTTAATAGTTCACGGGCTTTGATTACAACTATCTATTCGCACGAGTTCGTTTGATATGTGTATAACGTATGTATATCTATAATATGTCCAATGATAACATAAGCACGGTCAGTCGAGATGAGCTCGTGCGCCTATCATTGTATAGGTGTTGCACGTGGCCATAAAAAAAATTGTAAATCGGTGACCGCTAGTCTTGCAGATAAAAAAACGTGCATAAACTTATCACACATTATGTAGAGTTTATCATATGGTTAATGCTATAGCCACATTTGTTATAGCCTAAACGCGCCTAATAGTTTGCAAGTGGTGTCGGTCACCGTTTATCTATAACTACTCTTTCCGAATCTATTCATCCACCTTTTACTTATCCTACGGTCTTAACCTCTTATCGGGCTCTCTGACTCTAACGTCCTTCACCAGTTTTATTATTTCATTTCATATAATTTTTTCACCATGCCCAAGAACCAACTCTGTCAATTCATTCACATCAAGTTTAAAAGTAAGGTTAGATTAGGTCACCTTAGACTGAACTCAATAGTAACAAAGGCCGTATTTTTGCATGATATCCATTCAGTAAATTCAGGAGAGTCGAAGTAGGCCCTATAAACAGGATTAAACTGGGCTTTCTAAACCAACTCGAGCTATTTTTATTCTATCGGCCCTTTGGCCATATAGATTATTGGTGGATGATGTCGTTCCTGAAAGTTCGGTACTCTGATCTTATGAGCTTGAGCCGTTTTGGCTTCCAATCAAATATGAGCAAAAATCATCAAAGCACAGAATAGATTATATTCTATGATCGAAGTATCAACTTGGTGAAGATCATTAATACAATTTAATATTTTATACCAATGCTCTGGATAATTGCATTAATCTTTAATTATTGCAATTCTAATATATCTGCTTTCAATTATTTTAAGAAATCCTAGGGCAAATCTTTGGTAGTATGTATTTTTTTCAAAGAAAATCTAGATACCAGTTGGTAAACAAGCGCCATCCCTCCAACTTACTTGTATACCTTTAAACTTTTTAAGAGTACCTATCGTTTTCTTTATTTTATGAAGCTATCCCATCGCTTCTGGTATAGGTTCGGCGCCACTGAACGTACCCACACTAGCATATAATACGGTGTACACACGACACGCGACATACAAACGTGGAGGTTAGCATAATGTTGTTATTGTTGTTGAGTCCATCGAGGTTGGCATAATACAGTATTATATGGGTACGGTGTCAGGTGGCGGCGGTGGGGATGAAAGTGTATGTCCGGGCCGGTCGACAACGGCGGCGCGGCGTCGGGCCGGAGGGGAAAGGAGACGAGATTAGTGGAGGGGAAAGGCGATGAGCCCGGGGACACCCGCAAGACGAGAGAACGTGCGGAAAAAAAAATTATTTAAAAAAAGTGTGCAGAAAAGATTTAGAAAAAAAAAAAAAAAGGGGTAACCCTAGCCAGAGGCGGCGTTCGCATCTCGCCGTCACCGCACCGGTGCGGTCGACGACAACCAACAGAGTTTTACCGTCTCCTCGCGCTCAGTCGTGTCGCGTACACCGTTCGCCGTCTGCATTCTCTCTCACACCGGTCGACCGTTCGCGTGCGCGTGCAGTAGTACATGTGAGCGTCTCTGGTGTGTTCAGTGTGTCTCTCCGCTTGACCTACAATCGTGCACAACTACACACCACAACCGCGACTACGACAGGCAGCTAATATCAGCGTTACCTCTGTATACGAAAACTACCACACGGTTACCGTCGCGTGCCGTCCGGTTTGGCCTTTGAAAATTAAAGTACAACCGACACCGAGAGCCGTCGGGCGAGATAGATTTTTTCTTTTTTTTTTACGTTTGGTGCTGTGCGAAAACATTACCGTATATCCTGTACAATATACGAGTGACCGCGCACCAAACAGTAGTCCTCTGTCGCCGCATCGCTGTCGCCCAACACTTCACTGCATCGCGCCTCAAATGATACCCTGAAACCGGACGCATCTTACAAACACTTGAAAGAGGTAAACGAGCTGGCTGGCGAGCTCTTCTTTTTTTTTTAAGGGGAATATAATTATATGTATATATTTTGTATGTATTTGTAATTCATTAACGCGGAAATTATATATTTTCGGCCTATAAACTCCTCCTTGTCTTTATTAAAAATTAGAAAAAAAAATGAAATCCGTTATTAGCTGATACTCTTGGTTAAAGTCGGTCTTGGCCCAATATGATACTTGCCGGGCAAAAATTAAATATAAGACAATAGTTTGTACTGAAATGTCTTGGTGTTATGAGGGACACCAAAAGTAATCAAAACTGGCGAGCAGAACGTTTGGGTTCTTTCAAGTACACGTGTCTTCCGACTCCCAGTGCTCGCGACCGGTTTTTTTTTACTCCTTCGCAAAACTCTATGTAATATGAAATCCGGTTTCGTATCGTACCTATACCTACCCAGTAACGCACCGAGCATTGTTTTCAGCAGCTGTCTCTAATGCAATCCAGTGAAAAAGCTGTGTCGTGAAATTCCAAAGATTCCGTTTATATAGCATGCGTTGTGACGCTTAAGAACGATATACGGCGAAACCCGTCCTCAGTATTTCGCGCTATTACTATAAGCATCAAGTCATAACCGATTTTATCGTTTAAGTACAAGTACAAGCGTGGATTGCATTTTGAGAACGCGGTAAACGCCACCTGTAGCTGTCGGTCCTGCGGTCGTCTGGTGACTATTCCCACGCACGCTTTCAGCTAGGTTAAGACGTGTTCGTTATCGTAAGGTAATTTTTTTTTTTAATTTAAAAGAAAGAACACTAGAGCGGTAAAACTCAAAATAGATATACGTCGTTAAATCGGTTAACTAGCGTGCAAACTCAACGACACTATCACACTTATCCGATGATGATTTTTAAACGCTTTTCTCACGTTAGAAATCATTTGTAATTCATACACACCAAATGCAATTATTTATACGCCTAATTAAAATTATAGTAGGAGACAGTATTCATACCGTGTAACGCATGTGTTGTTTACACTTTGTCTCAAAACGGATAGTAAAAAAAAAAAAAAATACAAACAAACGTCGCGAATGTTTCACTCGATAAAAAAAACGCGTTTCATGCGTTTCTCAACAGTCTTGTAATTAAATCAAATTTACCGCAAACAAGTAATCTGTAGTCGTAGAAGCATTTTGTTTTTTTTTTGCTAAATATCGTCCACTGTACTTACTACAGACCTGCACACAGTTAGTCTATGGGATGCCGACAGTTATGATGTAACTGAGTTGATTTCATGGATATCCAATATCTACAAGTGTAAACTACATGTTTTACAACTTGCAGTTTTCAGACCGCAAAATATAAAAATTAATACTTCAGAAATATTGTGAAAATGTTTTAAAATATTTTTTACCCAAATTTGAGTTTTAACATAAAAAGAGCAAATTTAAAAATATTTAACTTATCAAAAACAATCACTCTTATTAAGTTGGACATGACAGTTGTAATTTCAAAGGCTAGATTCTGTTAGTCTTGGGCACTGCATTATTTTTAGAATGCTACTTAACTAATGCATTTAAGTAAATCCGACCCTAGAATTTTTCATAAATAAACCGCCCCGAAGTTCTTTAAACTGTTGATGCCAAATGTGTGTGCATCTTCTGATTTTGCATAAACCTAGGCCACATAACTGTTTTATTTATTTAAAAAATATAAATGTATTATTTTAATAATAATAAATGTTCGTTATTTGCGCAAGTAAAAATTGTTATGACGAAAATAACGTTAATTTTGCATTACCTACATGTTCGGTAAATTAATAAAATATTTATTTTACATTATTTACACATCTTGCGGTTTTTCTGACTTGCAATAGATTGTCTGGTCTGACAGCGTTCCGGAATAATTGCACATTTCATTTTCAGGGCTGTTACTTAATATTTTAACTATCTCATTTTAAAAATTTTACTAATTTTTACAAATGACTTCCGGTCCAGTATTGTCGAGTTTATTAATAGTCTTTTTTTTTTTTTGTCATTTCAAATATTAATTTAATAACTAACCAATTTGGTTTGTAACGAATAAACTCTAATTGTTTGTCGCTTTAACGACAGTTAACATGACGGTTTAAATTGATCATCTATTAAAAATAATTTTGATTTGATTTTTAGCGGTACTCCCGGTTTGATGTATCGCGTGTTCTCTCTTTGCTCGTCTATTCTGTGCTGTTTAAAACAACAATTGAAAATTATCATGACTGGTGTGAAAAATAAAAATTTTAAATATTATTATGTTATTTTACTGTATAACCTTCATCCCTAGTGATGTTCAATATCGCTCGTTAACATTGCTAAGTGTATATACAGTTCACGGACATTATATATATATAATGATAATAATACACCGTAATCATATATTAAAATATGTACATGGGTACTTCCGAAACAACATTTAAACGCATCGGCTGTAACCTTGCACTCCATTTTATAACATGTCCACGTAGACAAAATACAGTCGATTGACTAATAATCATTATTGTACTGTGTGTTTTCAAAACCGAGAATGTCACGACTTTATACCCGTTTAATAGTACCACTAGCCGACGACTTGACGCAAAACCGGCCGAAACCGATTAATTACTTACCACCAAGTACATATAACAATATCGTTTGGCTATCGCTGCTACTTCCTTCGGGGGGCCATTGCCTATCATAATATTATGTATACTTCTTACATGCCGGACCCGCGTTGAACCCATTACTACCATTGGCCGTCGGTGAATTTTTATTGTTGTCCTCTACCGGTTTCCAGCGATAGACGGCGGCCTGTAACTGTAATGATAGGTTTAACTATCGCTCTGTTTGGTACTAGAACAGTTTACTTGCAATATAATAATTAATAATATTATATTGCTGTTGTCGTTAAATACAACCGGTGCGGATTAGTCAGAATTAGGTCCCGGAATCAAAAAATCTGTAGAAAAAAATTACACTAGACCCAACGGTAAAATAAACGTTTGACTGCCAACATTGTTGATACATCTGTTATGATAAAATATGTTTGTTAATTTTGTAATATATGTCCGGTCCGTGTAGTGCATCATTTGGGATTATGTTGGCCAAACACAAGGAATTCGGCGAAAACAATTTTTCGGTACGTTTAAACGTCAACCTTGGTCGCGGTTCAAATATACCGGATTTGTTTTGACCACAGTCTTGTGTAGACTAGTCTATTCTATACTGTAACGTTCAATGACTCGGCGTAAATGTCCGCAGCAGTCGTCTATGTGTATGGTTATGATGATGATCAATGATCATTGTTCAATAAAATGTCGTTAAGTATTATATTTTATTTTATCATGACCCAAAATTGTTGGCGTAACGTATCGTTCGATTGATCAACAATTTCCACAAGTAGTTGTTTTGAAAATTGATTCTGATATACACTCCAAGTATGACTGGGGTATAAGTATGGCTTGCGGTCGCACATCCCTACCGTTAGGACACCCACAAGGGGAATGGTTAAAGGGACTCACGGTTTTGGGGTTCGAAGCACAGATAAGGAAAACTTTAAACACATAAAAATTGTTCGTTTGTGATTTTAGATTTTTATATGGACACACTATATAAAAACCCCTTTTAAAACACTGTTTTCGCGTCTCTCTATTGTCTTTTTATCAATTAGAATATGAATTTATTTTAGATATTTTGAAAAAAAATGACCAAACAGTGTTTGTTGTTGCTCAATAATAATTTTATATTCAAATATTGATACGCATTTTTACAAAAACAACTTTTGTTTTTTAGATTCTCTAAAATGTTGTAAATTTAGGGCCCGGAAGATTTGTATTTTTTTTTAATTATAACAGGAAATAATTTATTAAGAAACACAAAAAAAGATTTAAATCAATTTTGGGTAGTCCAAAAACATAATTTTTTAATTTTTTTGTTCATCTCGCGACCATTCTGTCCTAAATTATAAACCATTTAAACTCATTTTTAAATACTTGAAGTAATCTTTATTAAATGTTATGGTAATTATGCATGAATTTAGTTACTTAACAAAATGTTTTTTAAGTAAAGGTAATTTTTTCAGTTATTACACATTTAAATCATTATTTTTCATCATTAGACAATATTTAGTACATTATTTTGTAGGTAATGATCCGTTGTTTTGAACGTAACTTTCTTGAGATTATTTTAGGCCTCAAACTTCCGAGTGCTGACTACTTTAATAACAGGTACGATAAGACGGATAACCGTTGAATAAAAATTATTTATATTATTTTATGTGGAGTTTTAGTGAAAAAATGACGGACGGCGCGCAAACGTTTAGCGAAATAATAAAAAAAAGCAATAAGATTGTATAATACAATAGTATGTTTGACGTTTCTTTATAATTATTACTTATAATCGAACATGTCTGATGTACAATCAGCCATCAGCCATAACCGAATACCAATCAAGTCACGTTTTAGTGAAATAAAATAGGTATATACATATATTTTTTTTTTTTAACAGTTGTAAAATCTGCGTTGCTTCTCATAATCGTGGGTCATAGTTTAAAAAATTCTACGTCAGCGGGCTATATTGAGTATATTATAAAATACCTATGTCCTATACCCATTATGCTTAACTGATTACCGCATTGATACGAGCATTGTCCGTGCTACATTCATGTTCATGTATTGAGGTAATATAAGCTTCGGGACTTTTAAATTATAATATTAATAATATAATACCAAAGCGATATTGCTTTACCGTCACCCGAAGATATTACACGATGGGTCTTACGACATCCTATATCATCTCTTAGCGGTTAAGTCAATATAAGTAATAATATTTATTTACTATCTCTCTCTCTCCCTGACTGAAGCATATTATTATCATGTTTAGTGCATTTATTTTTATTATTGTTAATGTTATTATTATTATCATACCTAACCGGGTTCAATTTCTTAACCTCGGTCGGTATAAACACACTCTAGGATGTGCGTTGTATCCGCTTGTGTTAGTAAACAAACGCGCGGAGACACACAACAGCAAACAATGTTTACACGTTTTTTATGTGATTCCCACTAAAAAAAAAACTCACAATAACGCAGCTACCTAACGTCCTAACCTAATATATTGAACATGAAAGAGTCGTTTAAAGAATATTAGGAACTAGGTAGTAGTAATACGTGTCAAAATCTGGACAAGCTACTTTACACTTTAATAAGTTTCAGACATTTTTTTAAACAATTTATCGCGAAAAAGTTTATATTACCCAATTTGATAAATTCATATGTAAAATAATTTTAAATTATACCTATATATTATATATGATTTGGAAATTGTTGACCAAAAAAAAAAACAGACAAAATATACTTAGAAAATAATGAATGAAATAACAATGTTTAAAAACAACAAGGATTGATCTAAATATGTAATAAGTTTTAAAGAATGACATTAAAATGTATTTTTATTTAAAAAAACAACTCTTATGTGTAAACACACACACACACACACTTAGAATAGGTTACTCATAACCTAACCAAAATAATGTATACCATCAAAATATTTAAAAAAAACAATTCAACTATACCTATACATTCTATAAAACGGAAAAAATAAAATATGCTTTCTCAGCTCCACATTGAAGCGATATACAACTTAAAGACAAATTCTTTAATTTAAAAAAATATTTAAATTTAAATTGAAAATGCATCAATATTCTTGTGGTATGCAGTAAGCGGTTTTTTCTGTGGCTTATCACATGGTTAATGCTGCACCATTATTCGGATTAATTTTACATTACTTATTTTGTCAATGTGAAGAGTGCTTCAGAGTTCAGTCCTAATAATAATTCGGATGGCTTAGAAAAGCGCTATTTTTTTTTCTGTAAGTCATTACCTAACCCGGAATAATTATAAGTATAGTTGTATACTACACTATTTAGTGTTCACCCATTTGCCCGTTGTTAGCTTAGTTTAGTGAGGAGAGCTAGCCTTATCGCAAAATCATAACTGACGCGTTCCTTGGTACGGTCTATACAAGAAATATTGCGATTTATCGAATCGTCTAAACGTGCCAAAACTGACTTGAGAATTTAAGATTAAACGCCGATGAAGCAGTAAATCCTAGAATAATATATCTACCTATTGTTAATAATAACATTAAACGCGTCCACTATCTCCTGCTCGACGTCATGGTAATAACTACTAACCTAACCTAACCGAAGATGTGGATTCATGTTTCATTTCTCGTAAACAAAATACCTATACTCATCAACACTGCTCATCTTCGCAGCACAAGTCTTTCGACGCCGCTGTCTTTATCGGGGTCAGAGGTGTTCTAAACAAAATCAAGTGCCGGTTCTGGCCGTTGATTTAAATCTGTAGAGGAGGAACATAATATAGTCACGCGACAGTCGAACAAACCAAGTTTTCTAGTCTGACATAACTACCGTCGTTTTCCCTATTAGGGACTTTGACTGACCGTCACTTTCACGATTTGCCAGTGTCGTGCAAATAATAATAATATATGTGCGCTGTAAAACGCGTTTAAGCAAATTATCGCCTGTTTGTCTGTCGTTCTCTCTTTACCACCGCCACAGGTTTAAATTAACTGTGTTCTTTATGTCGGCCGAGATGACCCAACCGCTGTCGTGGCTTCGTTTTCTTTGGCAATTAAAACGATGATAATATACTAAACACTAGCTGGCTCAGTCAAACGTGGACCGAGGAAGAGAAAGACGGAGAGAGAGTGATGACCTTGTCCTCCAACGGCGTCGCGGATGATATAATTGCTTGTGTTTTGGCAACTGGGAAGTAACCATTACTCGTGGGACGATTGGAGTTTAAAAAAAAAAATACAATAATATAGTACTGTAACAAAATGCGTAACGAGACAAACCCAAACGCTGCAAACCGATTTAGGCGTAATATTGTAATATTTTTTATCATGTATGATATTATTATAAGCTGTACGATGTGTAACCGTGAAAAATATGCGTTAATATTAATTTTTTTCCCCGCCGACTTTGCAAAACTAAGAGTAGAGTGATTTTTTTCATTTCTAACCTTGGTCGGGTTCAAGATGAAAACTCTACGGACACGCGTAATTCGTCTTTCTTTTTCTTCCCCTCCCGACAATTTTCTCGTGCGTGAAATCCACCCAAAATAAAAAAAAACAATCACAATCACAATGTATTTTTCCGAAGGATTTTGGAAGCGATAAAAAAATATCAACAATATTACATGCTCAACAATAACAAACGCACGGTGATAATTCGACCGAGAAAGGTCTCGGTCAATTAGTTTTTTACACCGTTTAAGATACTAAAATTATTCAAACGCGTTTTTGACCGTGTACAAGGAAGTGATAAATGTAGTATATATTATTATAATTTATTTATGTACACTAATCGACGATGTAGAGTTTGATTTTGGACGTGCCATTTGTACTAATTATTACTATAATTTCTCTGTTTATAATCGATATTTTATTATAATGTTATTAAGGAAGTCTATTAGGCTAGGAGTTATCCGCCGTTAAAACACTACCGTGTGCGATCGGTCGCGGTGGTTTTATATTTTATTATATTAACCATAATACACATATTATTATATTGTCGGGTTAGGTCCTGGAACTACAGTTAATTACAATTTTTTTTTTTTTGCAAAAACCGGTTGGGCGCCCAACGCAGAAACGACTTTTCTCGGCTACACAACACACACGTGTTATTATCGTGTACTCGGTTTTTTATTTTTATCTCCGACCGAGGTCGGTATTTTTTTTTTAATGTTTTTTTTTTTACCGCTACACTGTTGTACCGTCGACGACCTTTATGATAATAATGATACGGCGCCATTGTGGTGCCAGTCGGAAGGACTCTAGTTTATTGATTCGTTCGTTTTGTTTACATGTTCGCAGGGTCGTTGTTGGATCATCGGAAATGGTGGCGTCCGCTGACCGCCGAGAGAGTTTCGGCGTGGACGGCAACATATTCCACCGGAAGTCGAGCAACAAGGAGAAGTCGTCCGATGTGGCGGTGTACACGATATCCGTGGTGGGCGGATACGAAAACCAAGGGTTCAAGCAGGACGAGCAGTCGGGCAACGGGCTGGCCAAGCCGCCGCCGATCGGCGACGATGACGGCAGCGACGACCATCTGCCCAAGGGCAAGTTCAAGATGTCGCCCAAGGAGAAGTGGCGGATCCTAAAAAACGTGAGCACCATCAGCCTGGCGTTCATGGTGCAGTTCACCGCGTTCCAGGGCACGGCCAACCTGCAGAGTTCGATAAACGCCCGCGAAGGCCTGGGCACCGTTTCGCTGTCGGCAATCTACGCGGCGCTGGTGCTCAGCTGCATATTCGTGCCCACGTTCCTCATTAAGCGGCTGACGGTCAAGTGGACGCTGTGCCTGTCACTACTGTGCTACGCGCCGTACATTGGCGCCCAGTTTTACCCGAGGTTCTACACGCTCGTGCCGGCCGGCGTGCTGGTCGGTCTGGGCGCCGCGCCCATGTGGGCCGCCAAAGCCACGTACCTGACACAAACCGGCGCGGTCTACGCCAAGCTCACCGACCAACAGGTCGACGGCATCGTCGTCAGGTTCTTTGGGTTCTTCTTCCTTGCCTGGCAGACCGCCGAACTCTGGGGAAACCTCATCTCCTCACTGGGTAACTATATACAACTTTCTAATATACATATACCATTTCAAGTATAGCCCATTTTCTAAACTCTGAAAGAAATTTAAAAAATAATCGTAGCCCTAAGTTGTAGCAAACCCGTCTCTCCAACCGCTACATAAAAAATAATCAATACTATACAATAACACTTACACAAAATACACTTTTTATAAAAAATAATAACTTATGAAAAATGAAATGGTAAAATGTGACTGTCTAAAACTTGACCTAGAATCGTCTGATCATTTGAAGACAGACGGGGAGCATAAAGTGGGTGTTTTTATTCGCTTTGCACTTCTACTAAAGTAAAAGGAATTGTTTATAAGATTATAGGCTTGAGGTCATCGGTAATCCGATTGAACCACGGTTTACACCCCAGTTGTTCGCCGCTATTCTATTTAGATGCGGCCAGTTCCTACAAAATGAGCATCGTTTTCAACACAAAACTGCGTGTACTTGTCGGCCTTATAAATTAACATATGCTGATCGCAGCTCGTAAATCATTTCACGACAAATGCGTTTAATGTATAGACTTCGTGAACTTTTTCTAACTAACGCGCACAATGCGATACGGTAAAGCCCTTTCGATAGGTAAACGTCAAGGACGAATGTTTATTATTGTACAATTACTGTTGGTGCCCTCCATATCTGTGGACAGCATGGGAAACGACGCTGCCGACCGGCAAATAACGCATTGGTACGGTAAAATCATTAGGCGCGTTTAATTAACCTGCAAAATATGTGGCGATGACCTACCCAGAAATCATTTACCAACTCAAAGCCGACGGTCGTTAAGTAATTCCGAAATTCGAGTTAATCCAAACAATAATGGTTACAAGGCGAAATAGAATTCTTTTGGTTTATCGTGTGAACGTTTTTTTTTTATGGAATTCAAATGAGCCATATTTTGTCGGAAAACTGAAGGAAAAATACTCGCACTAATTACGAGGAAGGTGAAAATCAAGGAAGGCATTGCCGAATAACAATTATTTTGTTGCGCTACTCGCTAGTTGCCCCATTTCGGGAAATAACTAAGCAAATAATAACAATGTACCATCACATATTAAGTTCCGCGATTAAAGTCAAATGTTATATACCTACATAGTAATAAATAAGTGGCTTACAATTTGAAACTAAAATAAGTAGTATTATATCAACGATTATTTCAAATATTATTGCTAATACATTTAAAAATTGAACCACGCCAAGCTAAAGGAGAAATAGTTATTACACAGAGTCATCGTTGTACCATATGTATTTGATAAAATACATACAGATAATTCATACTTTATACGTCGTACAATATGTCGAATATATTTATAATGTGTGTTTTCGGTTATATCGGTGAAAATAAATTACAAAACCGGGGGGGGGGGTTAGGAGTTTAGGTAGGGAGAACACCGTCCGGGGGGGAAATATGTGGGACGCGTTATTGCGCGCGAGCCAGGGGACCCCTCCTGTGTATGCTGTTGGTGTTTATAAATATTATTGTTATTATTAATACTATATTTACTATCAAGTGTTGGTAACGGGACTTTTGCGTTTTGCACAGTATTGTCTAGTGGCGCCCACGGCGGTGGCACCGGCGACAACAGCACCATGCTGTCGGAAGAGGAACTGCGGCTGTGCGGTTCGAATTTCTGCGTGATGGGCAATCACGCCATCGACAATCTGGAGAGACCGCCCGACTCGGAAATATTCGAGATCAGCACCATTTACTTGACCTGCATAGTGGTCGCTACCATCATCATAGCCGTGTTCTTGGATCCGCTGTCCAGGTAAACAAAACAGAAAAAAAAAATTACTCTGTGATAAAAAATACATTGTCTACCTTGCCCCCCCCCCCCACACTACCAAAGTCCAAAAAGCGTTGTCGCCATATCGAGCACGCATGCGATATCCCCATTACCCACTGTAGTAGCAGCGGTGGTTAACGTTTGAAGGGCAATTGCCAATTTGGGAAAAATACACTACTTTAGTAGTAAATAAAAATAGGAACGGGCATTTAGGCAACATATTATATTATAACAACAAGTGTCCTGTAGTCAGATTGGTTGATTGTTATTTATCGATAGTAAACTTGTCTTCGTAAAGATAGTTTAAAAGTTGAGTCATCAAATGGGTCAAAACAGCATGGAACTTTTGAAATTAATCCCGTTTTATAAGACAATTGTAATTACATTTTTAACAACAAAATTCTTTTATAACAGTTCTATTAAAACAACATTTTAAAGTTTTCAATTTTTTAAAATAAACTACAAAGTTTAACATTTTACTTTATATTTTGAATTGTTAGTAAAATTAACTAGAAAATGTTTTGTAGTATCGGTAGTGGTGTTGCTTTTAAATCTGTTCTAAGCTCTTTTTAAATAATTCATACTTTGAGACTGTTTAATAAAAGTCTTAATCGATTTTTTATGTGGAAACTTTAAACAAAACTTATAACTTTATTATCTTTGGTTTTAAAAAAATGTTATACATTTAATAATATATCCTATTAAAAAAATTCTAATCAAAACAAACACAATCAAGACTTGATATTTTAGCTTCGATGCGATGCTGAGACACGGTATTAATATTACAATGATGTGGTTTTTCCTTTTTATTAATAATTAATAGTTCTAATTATTAATAATCATTCAATTTTCCAAGTGATTGGGTCAGGTTAGGTTAGGAGCTTGAAGGGTTCGGGTTCGATTCCTTTGCACTGTTAGGAGATCACCCTTATTACTTACAATCAGTTGGTAGACAACAATGATTACAGCCTCCGGTACAGTAATAAAAGTGTGTAAGTAGCTGTTAATATGTATATAAAAACAGACGATTTGTCAGTCTAATAAGGCGTCATTGCAAACATCACTGAGACAACAGCGGTAATATTTACATGTTGTGTGTTGGCTTTCCATATTTACATTTTTCTGCGAGAAATTTCCAAAACAAGAACATTATCGTTGACCGCTTGTCCTGAGTAAAACGCGTACCCCAGCGTTGTTGGTCTTTCATGCAATGCCCCTTGAGCGTTATTAGATGTCACCAGTGACCAGACCGAATGTCTCATCACGCTTTAGCGCAGTTCGTTAGCCCGTGATTAGGTCGACCTTATACTCGGGCCTAAGGTCGTTATGGTTGGCCGTGAACACGCGACAATTTGGATCCGATATTATAAATGTACCTATATTACAATATACTCATACCAATCGGGCGAAACGATAATATTATACGGGATTCGACTAAAACAAGTATTTACCGGAATCCGAGGAGGAGTAATATATGTGTACAGTCATGCGGGATGATATAGTCGTGCGTTATCGAAGAGCTCTCCAGACACCGTTATGTAGTTGGAAAAAAAAACTTGCGCCAATAAGTGATTCTTGAGTAGGTAAGGAAAAGCCACGGAGGCGCACACGCGCACAATCGTTAAGAATAATTACCTCAGGAACCGGATAGGACATATTATATATGTATGTATATTTTAGTTTTTTTTTCCACAACCAGATTTGACCTCTCGGCATCGCCGGCACGCCGTATACAAGCAAAACTCACTGTATATACAGGGTGTCTCGCTAAGATTTGCCAGACGGACGACGGTTATGTTGCCGTTGTTTGAAAATCGACGACGATTATAATATTATCACACTCAAGTCTGTTTTCCAACTAAGGTCTACCCGGGAAAAAACTAGTGTAACTTTAAAAAAAAAAAACCTGTCGAGTCTGTCCGGGCGAAACGGTCTCACCTTCTTCTCTCTTGTTACTCTAATTATTAAACCAGCTGTGAGTAGTTTTTTTTTACGCGCCATGTTAATGTATACTGAACAATAAACTCCGTGGCTCGGCACTATCACAACGAAGGCACATTCCAAGATTCAGAAAGTCCACCTGTCAAAGTCCTTTTCGTTTATGGCACTAAAGCGATTTTTGAGCTGTACTATGACGATTATGAATGGTTTGCGCCGGTTTTGCGCCGTGCTTATGAGATAACCGTCTGGACCAACTATAATTTATAGAGATGATGATCTCTAGGACTAATGATGATCGATGATGATTTTCATGCGAGTCCGACTATTGACCGTTTCAGACAGTATCGTTGAAACGTGTGGTCGACGTTCGTGACTGCTATACTCGCTGACCGACGCTATAAGAAAATATATTGTAATTTATAATATGTTTTTCGACCTTGACGGGTCTATCCGATTTTTCGACCCGTCGCGACAGCGTCGACGTACGCTTAACCCATTGACGTCCAGCATAGCTCGTGTCTTTGCACATACAAATATATTTGATTTTACCGTTACCGAACAACAACCTTTTATACACGAGCGCAATACTTATAATAATGTAAACAATATTACCTAGATGTCCTTGTTCGTTTAGAAGTACCATCAGCACTATCCTGGTAGTTAGTTTTTGTTTGCTAAAAATCAGTATAACCAGCCTAACCAACCTGACTTTCATTTGGTAGATCTTTGTAATGGATATTTTAAAACTACCATTGTTGCTCGCTTAAATGTGATTGTTTTGCTTTTCTCACAAGACAATTATTTGTGGTGCTTCCTACTCGATCGGTGAGTATAATATGAGGTTCCCACTCTACCTCTACCCCTGGCGGTTAAACTTTGCGGGCACTTTGGTCTTATACCTCGGCCGGTTCGACGCTGCCCTCGGGCAGATACCGCTATTACAAACTTATAATTAAAAAATCAGTCTGCGAAGTGACCGGCTACCAAAATACTTCCTAATAATATTCGAGGATCGTAATATGACCTTATCGGCAGACAAGTACAAGGACTGAACGCGATTATTTTGTTCGCGTGCCTATAAATGCCGGCCGGCATAACACTTTGATTGGCAACATAATTTGTTTTCCGCACAGAATCCACTAATATATAATTATCATATCGAAAAATACAACCGAGCATAAAATATACTTAATAACTAATCTTATGCGTTAAGCTCGGATTACCGCCGTTCGACCGATGTATAGTTTTCAACCAATGGGTTTCCGAATAAATTACATCAAGGTGTACCCTTAATGCGCGTTTAAAGATAATATGATAATGTGTAACGTTTCCACGCTAAGACCGCCTTGACTATCCCATTAATATAAATGTATTTTTCGCCAATCGCTTTTAGGACTACCGACGTTTAAACCAGTGCCAATGCCTTCCAGACACGTTTTCTCGTCACCAGTGTCTACGCCTTGCTAGCGTTCGAGTTCTCGGCTTCAAGGTGTCCATATATAGGTGTATGTATAATGTGTATATGAAGAGTACGAGTACATGTATTTAGGTACAACGGTTACTCATACACATGTTAATGCTCTGTGTTTTTTTTATTTTTTATTAACGAAATCTGCTAACCGTTTGCGCAAATTATTTTGCGACTTAAACCCTCGAGGCGAAAAAAGTGGTTTGTATAATAATTACCGTAATATCTATACATAATAGAGCGTGATTAATGGCCATCATATTACTTATGTCTAATGTCTATATCTGACATACTATCTACTTACAAAACTTGCTTATCTTGAAACGATTAATGCGTTGATTTTGGTATAATTATTATTCCATCTTTTATACAACTTTACGTAGAAAAATAAATCAATAAGCTTCTCTTTTTTTCTTATAAAACAATTTTAAGTATTCGAAACATTTTTATACTTTTGGAACAAACTATTATTTCCAAACAGGTTAGGTTTCAAATAAACCCTGAAAACAAGCATTCTTACAGAAGGAACTGATAAGACAAATCTCTTCTGTATTTTGCCTGTTATCTAAAATACTAATATTGTACTAATCGGCAAAAAAAACTAGAACCCTTTCAGTTCTCACCACTTCAATAACATGTCGACTATATTTCATATATTTTCTTACTACTCGAATATAAATTTACATAACATTAAAACTATTTTACCACTATTAACAAGAAACGGTTTTAAAAGTAGGTGATAATATAAATACTTTTATATTCTCGGTTGCCACCGGTTGCAACGGCCAATCAGTTGGCACAGAAGCGTGGTAGATTAACGCGGTTTCGTAAACAGCAAAAAGGGCATCTCGTTTAGGTAAACAACAAAAGTTGATTGTATTGTAACTTACAATGTACTTGTGTTATATATTATGTATATTATACAAGGCTAGCGGGCGGGGGCGTAACGCTTTGGTAATTATAACAAATTCGGCGTTACTAAATCATTTCAAAAAGACTCGAGTTGTTATACAAGAAGGAATCGGCTTGCGTGCGTCACGAATCGCACAAGTACTGCACACACAAACCTGACGTTACCGTAGAAGACAATTTTAAAGACGGTGCAGCGTGACGCCAACAACTCGGTACAGGTTAGCGCGATGACGTTTATAGTGTTGAAAATAAAAATAAAAAACCGTCGATTTTTTTATCTTGTCGCTGTTCCCAACGTGCATGCATACGTTATTCTACATTTGTCGCTGTAGTAAATTTTGTTTTTAATAATATTATTACTCGTATGCTCTCCTGGCGATCGCCGAACAAAATCCGTCTGATCCTCGCGGTGAAAGTCTTCGAGCGGCTGACGCGTAATCCGTTTGAGTCGTTGTCCATTGTGCCACTATACATTATTTATATACTTTTATATTATTTTGTCTGTTTAGATACACGTATAGATATAATGTAGTGTACTTATGATATTATGTGTTATTATCATTAAGCCACCGTGTGTGAGGGGCGGAGTCACACTGGTATGTATAGGTACTGTGCTAATGAAATAGCACTTGGTCGTTTTTCACTGGCGCCGACCAGAAACGTTTGTCTATAGTCATCGCTATGTCGAATACAAGCAGAGTTCAAAAAGTTGTAACGTTTTTAAATCGATCGTCAGTCATGTTAGTTTTTCTTAAGTGTTTCAAGCCTAGTGACAAGTATACCGAAACCCCGTTCGGTCCTGCGATAACTTGCACCCTAGCGTAGACAGATGTCATGGTATATTACTATACAAATAAGGCCCTGGTGTTCTGCCGAGAAGTGTCTATGACTGAAAAAGCAGTCCGTCTTTGTCCAAACCCGTAATTTAAATATTTCAACCCTTATATCACTTTAAATACCTTACATTAGACAATTATAAAATGCGAAACTTTTTGTTAGATAAAAATATATAGTTGCACAGTTGATGATTATAATATATAGTTGGTGATTAGTAAAATAACGCGTTTCACTCGATAACTATGAATATTATAAAATATTATTTATAACCAAACATAATCTATGATGTATTAAAATAAAACTATATAACAATAAGCCATTTGCAATATCGCGGACTGAGAGAGAAGTGCAGGAATCTTTACCTAGCTTAAATTATCAATAATTTACCATCATTTCATCAACTTTTCTATGCATTACTAATTACTTTGGTGTACTAATTCTAATATAATATAATACATATTTTTTGTATGTTTGTAGCGATTAATATAATCATATCCGATGTAACCGCAGTACTAATAACAACAATTATTATTAATGTTACAGCTGTAATATTGGTTTCCAATTGATTTCGATTCGCCATAAACATTATATTATGGATCTATTAACATTGATTACTTATATTATATATATATATATATATATGTATGTAATCTCTGAAGAGTAACGAGACGTTTAAGTTTTAACACCACGATTGTGCAACGCGTCAAATCGGAATGGCTCAATAAAAAACATATAACCGCATGTTTTGCAAACATTATTATGAATTATAATAATAATGTGTACGAGTTGTGTTAATTAAGCGCAGGCGAACCCGTCAGATTGACCTTAAACGAGGCGTTTAAACTAAGTAATTTTTCACACCGATTTTTTCGGAAATTTGTGTACTTGTACTTACAAGTTAGCCCGTTATTAATAATAATAATAATAATAGGTACACCAAACGACTTAGACCGCATGTAGTTTTCGGATTATTTTTATCCAATTTCCCGGCTGACCCAAACCCGTTTTTACATTCAAATATTTATTTTAATTAACCATTCAAAAAGCGTATGATATTATACAACTATAACGGTAGTCCTACTTTGCTGGTACTGGTACGATCAATTAACCATAGCCTAGTGTTCGCATTTAAATTTCCCATGATAATTAATTTAGAACATATTAAAATTGATATCGAAACATTATTACATACGTTGTGTACATTAAAAATTGTAGCAGTTGTTTTGGGTCAACTAAAAAATATACACATCTTTTCGTGTTATAAATGAACTACATTAATATATATGTGTGAATCAACTTGAGTAATCCCACGGTGTATTGTAGTGGATTGCTTTAAATTCATTATCTTTGAAATATATCTGCGCGTGTCTGAATTAAATGACCATTACTATAATTTTTAACGCTTACCAGTCGCATGATTATAAAAAAATGAAGAAGTACCTAAACCTGTCCAATAAAAATAAAAACTCAACAACGGTAAAAAAAAATGCCGAGTTCCACTGTTAATGGCGATTGAATTGATGTAGAACTAAATGCACGTTTTATTAACAGGTTAAGATTTTATTTTATACCATGTTTGCAATAACATGGGTTGAGGATGAAGGCTCTGACTGAGGTGCGGTTCCACTCAACTCTGAGTAAAATAATCAACAGCTAACAGTGATTTTTGCATGCGTTTCAATCGGTGCCTTTGAAATATGATTAAAAACGATTGACGACGTCAAAATTACATTAATAAATTAATACACTTTTGAATTAAACACAAACCATTATCTTTCAACGTATACTAAGACACTAGTTGTATTGTCTAATGTTGAAATAATCACTCGGCCGTTTTTTGCTCGAGACTGGCGCTGGACAATGTAAAACTATTTCAAAACCAAAAACTGACTTGTATATTATATTTTTTGTACACGCCATTTCCGACACTATAAGTAGTTCGATAAGACAAACGCAAATCGTGCCGAATTATGTCATATCATCCAACGGTACTATACTACTATTATATCATACAGCCGAACTATATTCTGTCTTATGCGTTTGAAAACATGAGTCGCCCTTTTTCTGTGTATGCAATTTCGTATTCACTGCATATGTGGTTGCTCGTAGCACACATACCTATTCTCTGTATAAATGTATAGAATTATTATTAATACTATTTGCTGTTTTAATAGTAAATTAAATCAAAATCGTACTAGGATCTTTCGGCGGTCGCACATACATGTTCGGCATCTAGTTTTTGACTTTAGCTTACCTCACGCACTGTTTAACATTTCACACGCGATACACATAAGTGCTTTCTGTGTTGGGTAACCGGTCATGCTACATATTATACATAAACTTACACATATAACGATAGAATCATCCGCAGATACAGTAGCAGTAATATTGTAACTAGAACTAGACAATTGGTCGTTATTCATTTGTATGCAAGCCGAACCAGCAGCGTGCCACCTACGGACGAAATTGACTTTTCGGTTATTCTTAACATATCTGGTTAGATAAAACAGAAGTTACAAAATATTGAAAAATTATTGTTATTGTTGTAATTTTGTTCTCGTTGAACCGCCGGCATCTGCATTCGAATTTGCACCATTAACAATAACAAACACAACCATTTGTTTGGGACCAAGGTTTAAAGTTCAAAGAAAAAATAATAACTAATGTCGTTTTTAAACATTTTAGAAAAAATATTTGTATAAAAAAATTATAAATATAATTACTATACTATGTATAGTTAACCCTTGCTAAGAAGTCGTTGGACACATTTACTCAGTTTCTTTAAGCACTTACTCTACTTTGCATATTTATTATTTTAGTAAAAATAGAATAGATTGTTAATGACCTAATCTGAATTAATTAGCACTGCTAAATGATTGGATATTCCATAAAATGCAAATGTTCACTAAATTACTAAAATGTCAAACTCTCCTGGTGGGTATAATATTATGGTAGGTTAGGTTATGAAATCTATGTAAATTTTAGTTACTGAATTAAACCAATCATTTTTATATTAATGTATGGTACAAAGTATTTATACTGGATATCCTAATTAAAAACTAGGTACTTCTTTTTTGCGATCTGTGTTTTCGTCATTCGTTATATTTATTATAATAATATACAACATTAATGTGTTATCGCGGGTAACACCGGTAGTGCTAAACCGTATCGTATCTGTACGGTCACACGCTAAGAATCGATCAACCGCTGCTATCAGATCTCTTTGGATCTCTGCCATGTAGAAATCTGTCTCATTATCATTTGCAACGTGTGAAAAATAGTTAAGCGTATGCACGGTGTACAATACATTTTAAAAAAAATGTGTTCGCTTCGAAAATGTTGCATCCGAATTATTTCTTATATTGACTTTTGATCAGTTTCCTGTTTGGGAATATACCGCTTATCAACATAGCTGCGATGAGCGTCAAAAATTAATTATAAGTCAAAAGTTAGATTAGGATAGATTAAGTATGCATCTTATAATTTACATCTCATTGGTCACGTGCTAGTCTGTTTCGACACTTTTAGCTTCGACGCAGAGCTGAGAAGGCATTTTATGACATATGTAACTGAAAATCATACAACCCTTTACACCAACAGCAAACCATAAGCAAACAGCTCTATAAGTATTCTCCGAGCTGATTGCGGTACATGCGTTTGTTAGTAGTTCAAAGTTATGGCATATTCGATTGTATTGGAATCTCGTGTATAAGTACGACCGAACAATATTCTTATACCAACAAGACGTTGTTAGATTTCAAATATCTATGCGACGAATGGCTACGACACCCATTAATGCATAATACTATTTCATCGGTGATACATGTAACGCGCCTACAACGAATCCTTTTGTTCGAGTTTCTTACCATGTAGATCTCTGAACACATGTGTCGTTGGTTAACTATACATTGTTGTTATATGTGTTAGTTTAAGCATACAAAGGCCTCTCGCTTATAATTTCTCTCAAATTCGCGACAGCGCGTGTGTCCATGCGTGCAAAAACGATATGCAATTCCACACTCGGCGGTAAAAGACAAAACGTGTCGTTTGAAATAAAATAAAAAATAAACTAGTGTGCGTGTGTGTGTGTATACATAGAAATTAAGTGTATATTTTATATGTATATGCGTGTGCTTGTTGTAGATACGGAGAGAAACAGAGGCGTGCCGATAGCCAAGAATTGTCCGGTATTCAGCTGTTGTCTGCCACGGCTTATCAGCTGAAAAAACCGTACCAGCAACTTCTCATACCGATCACCATTTGGATTGGAATGGAACAGGCGTTCATCGGAGCTGATTTCACACAGGTCGGTCATTGCATAAATAATTACTTCAAAAAATAGAATTTTTTTTTTACAATTTTTATTTATGCGTAAACATAATGCGATATTGTGTTTGCACAGAGGTCGACCGTGTTTGGCTTTCTCGCCGTCGCCGCTAAGTAATACCACCTAATATCTACCTACCTATACTATACGGCTATAGAAATTAAAAGTTTACAAACCAGCCGGCCCCGACTTTTGTGGGAGACAAACAATAATATTATATTATTGCCATTTTGTTATTATTGGCGCATGTAGATACGACCGGGCTTTGTTTTTGGCTGTGAAAAGCGTAGAAAGCTTTCTTGTAGTCAAACGCGCTTGTGTAATGCGGGGCAACGATAATTATTATTTTATTGAGCATTTCAAAACGGCCGTTAGTCATTCATTATTACTCCTGTATGGATAAATGTATTAAATACCACCACCTGTCGTTTTAAGTATCACCGTGATCTGTTTACAGGCTTACGTATCGTGTGCCTTGGGTATACCATCGGTGGGATACGTGATGATCTGCTTTGGAGTGGTCAACGCCATCTGTTCGTTACTGTTTGGAACCATCATGAAGTACATCGGCAGGATACCGTTGATGGTGCTTGGCTTCATCGTCCATTCAGTGCTCATATGGATACTCATCGTGTGGAGGCCGCACCCCAACAACCCCAAGCTATTCTTTACCATTTCTGGGCTGTGGGGAGTTGGCGACGCCGTCTGGCAGACTCAAGTCAACGGTAAGTGATAGTTATTATTACTATGTAATCATATCCGGATGAGAAATTATTGAGTTATGTATCTGTGCAGCTCGATCAACCCTAGTGCTTATGTCTTCTCGCCAGTTCTTCAAATCCTTTCAGTTCTCTCTCAATATTCTAGTCTTCTAGTCCTTTGATCTATGTCTTTTGTTAGGAAGTCAATTCTTCCGTCCACGCCAATGTCATGCATCGGTACACTGCTGTAACTAATTGTATTTATAATCTAAATACGGACGATTAAGCCTATTCAACAAATATATCAGGAATAATAAATGGAATGTGATCATTGGATACAATTAAAATAACCTCCAAAATATGATAAAAAAAACACAAATAGCTCCTCCCGACTTGTAGGTGCTTAGGAATGGGCTCAACAATTTAACAATCGAACAATCAAACGACTATAGTGTAGGGTATCAAGTGCAAGCATAAAGCAGATGCTTTTTTCCATTCTCCTGCTATATATAAAATTCATGGCACGTGCTAGATACAACACCGTATGTATTATAATGGCTCTAAAATGTAATTGGCCATTCCAAACTTTATGGTCTCTAATCTCTATCTTATAAAGTAATTTAAAAACATACAACAGACACACACAACATACAACATACAAAGTATGGTCACCGAACGAAAAAAGGCGAACGTCGCCTGTAGACAAAATTAATTATTGGCCAATAAAACTATAAGATAATAGCGTTAAAAAAATATTTTAAAGTAATCGGTTGACCGAATTGCAGTTTTTAGTTTACGGAAAACGCGAAATCAAAAATTCCTCGTTAACACTACAGTTCGGGTTTGGCGATAAAACACACACACACAAAACAAGCAAACGCTAATAGTTGTGTTAATGGGTATAGACGGAACTCTAGCGACGCTCTCCTTGTCGCCACACGCGGTAGTAATAAAAAAAACCCACTTGGAAGCGATTATTGCAACGTTCCGGGGAGACGATCATCTTGGACAGATTAACCGCACCCATAACATTGAACATCCTGATACGCCTCTGATGCTTCCTATTAATTAAGCATAGAACAGTGACCACTAATTTTTGTATACCATGTAAACTACAACTCGAACCGGCTCGAGTCTAAAAATTATATATGGGACACGGGGAAGGGGAACTATTAAGCATTCGTGTAGCGCAGACTCTGGTAATTACAGACTGTGCCTTATGTTGGTTTTTACAAAATCTATAGAAAGCATTCGTAATAATAAATTGTCCATAATAGAAGACCAAGAGGTGGGCTAAATATTTAAACGGAATCCTGGTCGATCCGGTAGACCATTGTGAGCACAATTTTGCCTACCTCAAACGTTTGACAGTTTGGGCAACTTTGCGACACGAATAACTGTACACTTAACTCTCGTTGTATAATAATAATATGTGTGCATGGCGACCGGCCATGTAGTAAAACAGAGACCGTTGCCAGTGACAGTGACCGTTGCATTTTGATGTTCAATTATTATCATTATCGTTCATTATCGTCATGCGGTTGAATTTGCCTATCGTGAATATATTGTCGACCTCGGACGACAAAAATTAAAAAATCACGATAACACAAAAGTTTTTTTTTTTTTTTGACGTTATTCGTATTGTTGCACGATATGCTCGTTTTGAAGTCACCCATTGTACCGAATAGTTATACACATGACGTTTACCGTGTACCTATATTGTGCAAATTCAAAACGTACAACGCAAATATTATAATGGCGGCCGGACAGTTTAATTTCTCTATTGACCTCTGAACAAAACTACGGTGTGGAAAAACCGTGGTACCCTGATGTTTGAATTTCCTGTGAGCTAAAAAAAAAAGTATCAATAATATAATTTTAAAAAAAACGATAATGCAAAAAAAAAAACAGCCAAAATACCTTCATAGCTCCGAAGCATCGTCGAAGCTGTATAAAAGAATAATCGAATTAATTATTATATGTTTTCCGATGTCTCAACGATAAGTATCGTTTGATATTATTATAATGAGATTGGTACACATCTTAATTATTATACATATATAATTATTATTATTATTTATTATCTTGGGTTTCAAAAGAATCGACCGCGGTACAGAGCGCGAGCGATCGTGCGTACGGTTATAAAAATAATAATAATAATAATAACAATAATATAATATTATAATAATGGTGCTAATGATAATATATAAATGTTATCCGAGTACAATGAAGACGGGTTTTCAAAGGATCCGCACCGGCGGATTCCCGCTGATCGATAGATATTATGGCGATTGGATTTTCGATTTCGTCAAGGGTAAGCAGAGGTCGCAGAACGACACTTTTGCCGTCGCCTCCGCGATTGGAAAATAATATCGTTGTTAAGTATTATTATTTCGTTGTTTAAGTATACATAAAAGACTTTCTCCGCCGGCTGTGACCGCGACAACCGCTTTGCAATTCCGTCACAATATATTATTTTAATGCCATCGAAAAAAAGTTTAATGTACCCGCGGACACGCGGTCCGGTCGTTTGTTGTTGGGCGCGTGCCATCGTCCGTTCGTACAGGATATTGTATTTATTATTATTATACCTATGTAGTGTGTATACTGTATATTATACCTATGTACTGTATACACACTCATCGTGTATTGTATTGGGAATTAAAAGAACGGCGAGCCGAAAATCTCGAACGGCGATAGACAATACCGAGGAGCGGTACGATATATAGGTATACCGCTATTACTGTATGTACGGAACGCGATTATCGTTGGTTCGTTAAACGTGGGTTAAACTCATAATAGTCGTATAAGATTTTTTTTTTCCTCGACCATCAAGTCTAATCACAACGGCGGGTTCACAGTATGTCCAAGCAGAGAGGTACTCGAAAATGTGTCGGTGCAATACAGCCGAGGAGGAGTCCAAAGTTTGAAGAGATTCGATAAAATATAGTGGATATTTAATTAAAAAAATTTTTCTTTTCTATCAGAAAACCCAGTACGGTAAAGGTAACTGGTATAAGACGAAAGTTGAACTCGTTCAAATTGACTTAATTGAGATTGAGATGACAAAATTGTGGAAGAAGGAAAAAATATCGTGAAGGGTGTAGAACGTTCCTGCACTAGACAGCACTTGCGAGCCACCTGATGATTTGTTTAAATTAGCATATTTTTCCAGTAAATTTCATCAAGTATTTGGATAACCAATCAGTTCCATTGATAGTTTGCACGGTTGAAACTTTAACTGAAACGCCGAGCCGCTTAACTTCTGCGTAATACATCATTACATCATGTACATAATAATATATCCGCTAATTTCGTTTCCGGAGGCGGCGGTGACCGATTGCCAATTATTATCATCAAGTTGGAAACATCAAAATACATGTGTATATAATATGTTAACAAATTTGTTTGGTCGCGTGCCGCTTACGTGCACGCGACGCAGTGTCAAGGAAAACGTCGCCCTTGAAAGTGTAAAATATATATTATATACAACAATAATAATTATATCAACAGCGCTGAGGACATATTTCAGAAAATGTCAACTTTTCCCACACGCAATACGCGTTCGAGTCGTTTCGATACCTATATTGTGTGCAGTGTGTGTTCGCTTCAACGGAAACGGTAATGGACATATCTGCGTACAGAGTGCGAGAGAGAGGGAGCAAAAACAGAACTCTACTCTCCCTATCTCTGATTTTAAGATAGGTATCATGTTGAACAAAATCCAATCTAAATATAAAATTGTTTATTTATGTAGAAAACCGGACGAACCCGTTCAAGTTAGGATAACCGATAAGGCACAATGTTTTTACATAAAAGTAACTGATGTAAATGATTTTGGTTTAGTTGCATTTTGAGTAAATTAGTTGGAATTTGAAAAAGCGAGGCCTCAATTACCCGCCGGTTCTACTTCGAGTCTCGTGTATAACGACTCAAAAAATAGTCTTGGTTGGATCATTATAAATGCATTAATGATCTAAAGTTAAGCCAAGTCTTCTTATTCTACGTTTGTGATAGGCCACCCTAATCCTCAACCTTCGCCCGGGCAGTCAACATGCTCTGTCACAATATGTCCCACTCACGCACGAATTGACTACCCTCAAGTCCCTCTCAATTGCGTCCAACCATATTTTTGCATTCCACTAGCTCTCTGTCGTCTACATTAATTTCAATTGGCCATTCTGCTTCATCCTAACCTCTCCTCGTGACACGTTCAAACCACCTAATTTTACGCTTTAGTGAAACGACTACAACACATTTGATGATTCGTTAAATACTTAATAAAAATTCAATTATGCCCGTACGACGTGTAATTTAACAACGAATAAAAATAAAAACAGTGACATGACCGAATTCTGCATATCATAATAATATATTAACCGTTCTAGCTAACTAACGTCAATACATGACTATTTTTAACCGCAACGATTACTGGATAATTATAGTATTTATACATTATTTACATGACTTGAGGTTACTCCATTGTAAATAGGTTGACAGCCAACTGGTCTGTCAACAATCCTCCGACCTTCATTCTCAGACGCAGCTCTGTTCATGTTCGATATTTCACTACGAATAAAATGTGCAGACAGAAACTATTCAATGAACCGCAGCCCTAAAAAATAAGAAGACGTTTCGATCGAAGCGTTTAATACATATTACATAATATACGCGGCAGTAACCTCAAGTCATGTAAACATGTAATAAATGAACTCCAAACAAATTTTAATCGCAGTTGATGATTCCTTAATATTTTTTCTTTTTTTAAATTTTCAGTGTATTATTTAATAATTCTTTTTGAAATGTATACCAATGAATCTATGTTAGTCTATCTTAATTGTTAGAAGTCTACCAGTCACAATATCCTTCTGAAGTTATTATTACTTTCTTCGGACTCGTCCCAAGGAAATCGCGTGACTGACTGCAAACTCCCCGCGCTAAGATTTAGCATGTACATGTCGCTTTTAATTTCCTAGTTTTTTTATAGGCAATTTTTTTATGTACAATGTAGGTGCAATTTAAAC